TATACCCTTTGGTTGGTTGATGATGCATGGAGGGGATTGTAACCATGGCAATGAAGTGATATACAATAGGATGAATGTAAAACTAATGTTCTCCCATGTAAACTATCACATAATTCACAATTTTTATTATTATTTTTTTTATTCAAGAGCAAATATATCATGACTAAGGTGTGGCTGACCCAAGCCATGGTATTTTCAATAGCCTTATAAAAACAAACAAACAAACAAACAAACAAAAAATTTCATGTAACACAATTTCATTGTTCCTTAGAAACATCAAAATCCCTATATTGCCATTTAAAAAATGACTGTTAGTCTTATCAGTATGGACTACAAATCAACTAATTTTCCCTTTAATTCATTGGTCATAGATTCAGATAGGAAAATAATTTAAAAAAAAATTCTTCTTCAATTTTAGAATGATTTTAAAGTAAAATTGTTTGTTTCTTACAGATTATGTTCCTGGCAGCTGCATATGTAAGTCCCCAACTGGCTGATGAGAGCTGCTCAGCAGTGGCTGCTATCACACATTACCTGTATCTATGCCAGTTTAGCTGGATGCTCATTCAGGTTGGTGCCTCATTTCCTTCTTATTCTCAATTCCCCTAACTGCCCATCACTGAAGCCTAGATTCAGCCCTCAAATGCATTTGGATGGCGTGATCTCAGTATCTGATTTTTTTTTTTTTTTTTAATACAAAAGTGAAAGTACTTCAAATCTTCATTTGCTAGATTTTCTGGTGGCAAAATTCTTTAGGAATTTATCTAAACTGATCTTTTTTGTTTGTTTGACCTGTGTATGTTGTTCTATATCTGCCTGGAAAGAGGCCTCAGTGGCATGCAAGTCTTCGTCAATGTCCCTGAGCTAATCAAAGTTTTTGATTAATGACTTGGATGAACATATAGGAAACCAGCTTATCAGATATGCAAATGATAACAAGTTAAAAAGATAACTGAAAAAGCAAGCTACCCATGCTAAGATTCAGGTAGATCAATTGTAGAAATGGTATAGAACAAATCTTTGAAGTTGTACTGTGCTAGATTGGTGAATAGAACAAAGGAGAGATAATCTGATAGAAATTCATGTGGAAAACTTGAGACTTTAATTTAACATAAACTCAGCAGGAATCAAATGTGTCCAAATTACTTTAAAATAATAACTATGGGAACTACAAAAACCTTGCTAAGTGCCATTGAGTTGATTCTCATAGCAACATTAGCAACCTGGAATGGGATTTTCAGGGCTGTGAAACTTTGCAGGAGCAGAAAGCCTCATCTTTGTCCCATGGAGCAGCTGGTGGGCTCAAATTGCTGACCAGGGCTTGTCATATAGGGCCACAACACTCTCCTACAAGACCTTTGTTATGTTGTTATGTGCCATCGAGTCAGTTCCGACCCATAGCGACCCTGTACAGGGTTTCTGAGGGTGTAAATCTTTACGGGAGTAGAAAGCCTCATCTTTCTCCCGCGGAGCGGCTGGTAGTTTCGAACCGCTGATCTTAAGGTTTGCAGCCCGATTCATAACCACTACGCTACCAGAGCTCCTTAAGTTATATTAATAACAATATGGATGCAGCCATGGTTTCACTGTAATCTACAATATCTAGACTAACTTGAAGTCCTGTAACACTTACATAAGTCATGTTTCAACAGAACATCGCCTAGAGCCTAGAAAATGAGATATCAGAAAACATTGCTATAAGAACTTCATTTCACACTTTTGTTCTTGTTGTTAGGTGCCATTGAGTGGGTACTGACTCATATTGACCCTTTGCACAACAGAACAAAACACTGCCTAGTCCTGCTCCAACCTCACAACCATTGCTGCATTTGAGCCCATTGTTACTGCCACTGTGCCAATCCATCTCTTTGGGGTCTTCCTTTTTTCTCAACTCTCCACTCTACCAAACATGATATCCTTCTCTAGGGGTTGGTCCCTCCAGATAATATGTCCAAAGTATGAAAGACAAAGTCTAGTCGTCCTGGCTTCCAAGTACCACAATGGCTGTACTTCTGCCAATACTGATTGCTTTGTTCTTTTGTTTTTAACATTCTTCTCCAGTACCATAACTCAAATGCATACATACTTCTACAGCCTTCCTTTTTCATTGACAAATTTTGCATGCATATGAGGTTATTGAAAATACCATGACTTGGGTAAGGTGCAAATTTACAACTTTGCTCTCGGACCTTTGAAGAGGTCTTGTACAGCAGATTTGCCTAATCCAAGATGTTGTTTGATTTCATGACTGCTGCTTCCATGAGTGTTGATGGCTGATCAGAGCAAAATGAAGCCTTTGATAAAACTTTCAATCTCTTCTTCATTGATAAGGATGTTGTTTACTAGTCCAGTGGTGAGGATTTCTGTTTTCTTTACATTGAGGTGTAACCCATACCAAAGGCGGTGGTCTTTGATCTTCATCAGTAAGTATTTTAAGTCCTTTTTGCTTTCTGCAAGCAAGGTTGTATCCTCTGCATATTGCAGGTAGCTAATGAGTCTTCCTCCAACCCTGTTGCAACATTTTTCTTCACATAACTCATCTTCTCAAATTACTTGCTCAGCATACAAATCAAATAAGTATGGTGAAAAAATACAATCCTGTTGCACAGTTTTCTTAATTTCAAACCATGTGGTGTTCCCTTGTCCTGTTCGAACAACTACCTCCTTGTCTATGTACGGGTTCTTCATGAGCACAATTAAGAGTTCCAGAATATTAATTCTCTGCATTATTGTCCATAACTTCTTATAAGTCACAAAATTGAAAATGTTTGCATAGTAAACAAAGCACAGGTAAACTTCTGCTTTCAGCCAAGATCCATCTGACATCAGCAATGATGTCCCATGTTCTACATCCTCATGTGAATCTGGTTAAAACCTCTGGCAGTTCTCTGTCAATGCTTGTTTGCCACCGTTTTTAGATTATCTTTAGCAAAATTTGCTTGCATGCGATATTAATAATATTGTCTGATAATTTCCACATTCCGTTGGGTAACCTCTCTTTGGAAAGGGCACAAATATGAATCTCTTCCAGTCATTTGGCCAGGTAGTTGTCTTCCAAATTTCTTGTCATAGATAAGTGAGTGCCTCCAGTTTCATATCAGTTTGTTGAAAGATTTCAATTTGTATTCCATCAAATTCCAGAGCCTTGATTTTTGCCAATGCATTCAGTGCACCTTGAACTTCTTCATTCAGGATCATTGGCTCTTGATCATATGCTAGTTTCTGAAATAGTTGAACATTGACTATTTCCTTTTGGTACAGTGACTTTGTATACTCCTTCCATCTCTTTTTGATGGTTTCTGCATCATTCAATAGTTTGTCAGTAGAATCCTTCATGATTGCTTTTGTTCCCTCAGCTTAACAAATGCTGAGCACATTCTTTCTGTTTGGTTTTCCAACTCTAAGTCTCTGCACATTTCATTATAATTTTTCGTTTTTTCTTCTTGAGCCGATCTTCAAAATGTTCTCGTTATCTCTTGTACCTCCTCACTTCCATTTTCTTTAGCATATCTATTCTGGAGAGCAAGTTCCAGAGTCTCTTCTTACATCCATTTTGGCCTTTTCCTTCTTTTTTGTCATCTTAATGACCTTTAGCTTTCTTCCTGTATGACATTCTTGATGGCATCCTACAGCTCCTCTGGTCTTTGGTATTTAGTGTTTACTGTATCAAATCTGTTCTTCAGATGATCTCTAAATTTAGGTAGGCTATGTTCAACGTCATTTATTGGCTCTTATTTCCCCCCCCCCCCATTTCAATAATGCATCTGCTCATTCTTCGTTTTCTAGTTTTTTTTTGTTTTGTTTTTGTTTTTTCTTTTTTAAAGCATTTATTGTGAATTGAGTGATAGTTTACATGGGAGAACATCAGTTTTGCACTCATCCTATCGTATTTCATTTCATTGCAATTATTACAATCCCCTCAATGCATCATCATTCAACAGTATTTGCTTCTGTTTATATAATCATTTAAAAAATCAAAGGGCATATTCTACAAGCCTGTCTTCTGGCCTCCAGCACACAGCTTTTCTCTTTCCATAGGTCTAGAATCCTCAGCTGCCTCTCTCTCCATGTCCTCATCTCTGCCTTCTTCTCTGGTGTTGCTGGTTCTCTGCATAGGGTCCCACATTCCACTCATGCTCTTCTCCCCTGATGGTCCTAGGGTCCCCTGTTACTGGACTATAAGATTAAATACTCCCTCCCCCCTTTATGTTACAAAACTTCTACCTTTACAGTTGTGACAATTGTGTTTAGTCATGATAACAATTACTCACTATTGAATCATAGGAATCTTATCCCCATCTCCTTTCACCAGACCCATCTAGACAAGATGAAAACCATTCAGTGGGTATTTTACCTTCCCCACACACTCTGAAACTAAACTCCTTCATTTTTGGTTCTTGCTGACTTGTTTTCATTTTCTTGTGCTTCATTCTGAACCTTTGTATAAACTATTTGTGGTCTATTCAACAGTCTTTCACTCACCTAGTTTGGGCTGATGATATGGAACTTTTCCACTGTCTCTTTTCACAGATGTAGTCAATTTGATTTCTGTGTATTCCATCTGGTGACATCCATGTGCATAGTAATCTTTTATGTTGTTTAAAAAAAGATATTTGCAATGAAGACGTCATTGGTCTTACAAAATTCTATCATGTGATCTCCAGCATCTTTTCTATTACTAAGATCGTATTTGCCAACTACTGATCTATCCTCTTTGTTTCCAATCTTTTCATTCCAATCTCCAGTAATTATCAATACTTCTTGATTGCATGTTTGATCAATTTCAGGCTTAACAAATATGGTAGAATTCTTCAATTTCATCACTACTAGTTTAGTGGTTGGAATCCTGGTGTGGCGCTGTGGGTTAATTCGCCAGACTGCAAAGACATTTGAACAGCTAGGTTGGTGGTTCAAGCTTAGCAACTGCTTCTTGTAAGCCCTACATAGGGTCGCTCTGGATAGGAACTGACTCAACAGCACTTAGCAACAACAACAGTTTAGTGGTTGATGCATAAATTTGAATAATAGTTGTATGAACTGGTCTTCCTTGTAGGCGTATGGATAACCTCCTATCACATGCATCATTGTACTTCAAGAAAAATCTTGATATGTTCTTTCTGATGATGAATTTGACACCATCCCTCTTCAATTTATCATTCCTGGCATAGTAAACCATGTGATTGTCAGATTAACAATGGCCCATACCAGTCCATTTCAGCTCTGGTAGCGTAGAGGTTACAAATTGGACTGCGAACCTAAAGGTCAGCAGTTCGAAACTACCAGCCGCTCCATAATCTTTCTGCGCCTGTAAAGGAGCTCTGGTAGCATAGTGGTTACGAATTGGGCTGTGAACCTTAAGGTCAGCAGTTCGAAACTATCAGCTGTTCCGCAGGAGAAAGATGAGGTGCTCTGCTCCAGTAAAGATTTACAGCCTCGGAAACCCTGTACAGGGTCTCTATGGGTCGGAACCGACTCGACAGCACTTAACAACAACAAAGACATTGATATTTATGTGTTCTATATCATTTTGACAATTTCCAATTTCCCTAGATTCATACTTTGTAAATTCC